GTGCTTGAATCAAGTGCTGAAGGCCGAACGTCCCGACATCGACGAAAAGCGATCCGATTTACTGAAGCTACAGGGAGAGTTCCATCTGCGATTACGACAACTCGAAAAATCTTTGCTGCAAGCATTGAATGACGCCAAGGGTAAGATCCTGGACGACGATTCCGTAATCACAACTCTTGAGACTCTGAAACAAGAGGCTGCTGATATTAGTAAGAAGGTGGAGGAGACAGACAAGGTCATAGCGGAGATTGAGACAGTCTCTCAACAGTACCTGCCTCTGTCTCAAGCATGTTCGAACATGTACTTCACGATGGACAGCCTCAATCAGGTACATTTCCTATATCAATATTCGCTGAAGATGTTCCTGGATATCTTCACATTCGTGCTGTCGCAAAATCCAAAGTTGTCTGGCGTATCGGATTACGGTCAACGACTCATGCTCATCACGCGCGATCTCTTCTCCGTATGTTACGAAAGAGTTGCGCGCGGAATGCTGCACACGGATAGATTAACTTTTGCCCTGTTGCTCTGTCGCATTCACCTGAAAGGCATACCCACGGAGTCTACATACGACAGCGAATTTACCTTCTTCCTGCGAGGTAAGGAAGGCGTGCTTAACATCCGAGCACCGCCAGTGTCAAATCTAAGCTCGGAACAGCAGGAAGCGATGATGCGCCTCAGCATAAGACTACCTGCTTTCAAGAGACTGGCAGACAAGATTCAGGAGAGCGCGGATTCATTTAGCGCATGGTTGCAGTCGCCTACGCCCGAGACATGCGTGCCAAAGCTCTGGGACGAAGAGAAACCGCTGTCATCTACGGGAACAGCGATGCATCAGTTGCTGATAATACAGGCCTTCCGACCAGATCGCGTGATTGCGGCCGCATCCCTCGTCGTGGCCTCTGCTTTCGGCGAATCCTTTATGCCTGCCGCGGAGGCTGAACTTGACTTCGCGTCCGTCGTCGAGAACCAATTGAAAGCGACCGTGCCGACTCTGTTATGTTCGGTGCCAGGCTTCGACGCTTCTGGCCGAGTAGACGATCTGGCCGCGGAACTAGGCAAACAAATAGCTAGTATCGCTATCGGATCGGCGGAGGGATTCAATCAGGCCGACCGCGCTATAAATATGGCTGTGAAAGCCGGCAGGTGGGTGCTGCTGAAGAACGTACATCTCGCCCCGCAATGGTTAGTGCAGTTGGAGAAGAAACTGCATAGTCTGCAACCGCATGCCAGCTTCCGCTTATTCCTAACGATGGAAATTAATCCAAAAGTACCGGTGAATCTACTGAGAGCTGGTAGGATCTTTGTGTTCGAGCCACCTCCCGGTATACGAGCGAACCTGTTACGCACATTCAGTACTGTGCCTGCTTCAAGAATGATGAGAGCGCCCAATGAGCGGGCTCGTCTCTATTTCCTGCTTGCGTGGTTCCACGCGATCGTGCAGGAACGATTGCGTTATGCACCGCTGGGTTGGGCCAAACACTACGAGTTCAACGAGAGTGACTTGAGAGTCGCCTGCGACACCCTGGACACATGGATCGAGGCCACAGCCATGGGCAGAACGAATCTACCGCCTGAGAAGGTACCTTGGGATGCTCTGGTGACTCTTCTCTCTCAGTGCATCTACGGCGGTAAAATCGACAATGATTTCGATCAACGTCTTTTGGCTTCGTTCCTGCGTAAGCTCTTCACTCCGCGCTCATTCGAAGCTGACTTTGCTTTAGTCGCTAATATCGATGGGGCGCAGAGCAATCAAAGACATATTACGATGCCGGACGGTACTAGACGCGATCATTTCTTAAAGTGGATCGAGTCTCTCTCGGATAGACAAACACCTTCCTGGCTCGGTCTCCCGAATAATGCGGAGAAGGTGCTTTTGACCACAAGAGGAACGGATTTGGTCTCCAAATTACTCAAGATGCAACAATTAGAGGACGAGGATGAATTAGCGTATTCGAACGAGGAATCTTTGGTTACACCGAGGGAAGCCGAAGCGGATGGTCGGCCGTCTTGGATGAGGACTTTACACAATTCAGCCTCCACCTGGTTGCAGTTGCTACCAAAGAACTTGCCGATATTGAAGAGAACGGTCGAGAATATCAAAGATCCATTGTACAGGTACTTTGAAAGGGAAGTCAATAGCGGGGCAAAATTACTTCAAGACGTTATTCACGATTTGGAAGATGTTGTATTAATTTGTCAAGTAAGTGTTTTATTTCTTTTAAAAGAGTTAATGAAGCATTCATGATAACTGTGAATATCTCTAACATTGTATTTGATAATCTCTGACAGGGCGAGAAGAAACAGACTAATTATCACAGAACGATGCTGTCCGAATTGGTGAAGGGTATTTTGCCAGGTGGTTGGAGGAGATATACCGTGCCAAGAGGCTGTACAGTTATACAATGGATCACTGATTTCAGTCACAGGGTCTCACAGTTGCAGGAAGTTTCGCGTTTAGTCTCTCAAGGCGGAGCAAAGGAAATAAAGGTATTTTCTCGATTCTCTTTCAAATAATTGATTTGTCACTTTGTTGTTTCGAATATTTTTATATATTATAGATGTTATCTTACAGCTGTGTTGCCATTCTTCATCATGTAAACCTTCCTCTCGATTAAATTCATATTATACATTAAAAATAATTTTTTTTCAGAGTTTCCCAGTTTGGCTTGGAGGTTTGTTGAATCCCGAAGCTTACATCACTGCAACCAGACAGTGCATCGCGCAGGCTAACAGTTGGTCGCTTGAGGAACTGCAATTAAACGTAACTATTGGTGATGGCGATAATATCGCTACGGATGACTGCTCGTTCGCCGTTACTGGCTTAAAGTTGCAGGGCGCACAATGTAAGGATAATCAATTGTATTTAACTTCGACCATCATGACCGATTTACCGGTCACGATGTTAAGGTGGGTGCGATCATCCACCGAGGATATCCGAAGGGGCAAATTGTCCTTACCGGTTTATTTGAACAGTACTCGTACTGAGCTACTGTTTACTGTCGATTTGAATATTGCTCCTAGTCAAGAACCGCACAGTTTTTACGAGAGAGGAGTCGCTGTCTTGACATCCACCGCTTTGAATTAATATTAATCATTAACTCGATAATTACGAGATCGTTTAGCGCGAATTGTACCGCTTATAATCACAAATAACTATTATGATTACAACAATTTAAGACACGTTGCCGCACGTTGCAAGATATATTTGTAAAGAAAATGAGGGCATATATAAGGAATAACGTATCACTACAAAAGTCTAAAAATAAGTATTAAAAGAAATCTATATTTTACACGAATTGCTTTCAAGTTTCCAGAGGATTTTTGTGCTGCATAATTAGAATGTATAATTAGAAACAATCCGCGTTCGCGGCACGTATAATTAAATATGTATCATTTTTTTATTAGAATTAATATCTTTGCGAGAAGAAGGTTGTAATATATCTATATAGTTTATTTAATTTTGTATACGTTTAGACTCTCTTCTTTCCTCTCAAGTATACTTTTTTGTAACAAAGTTACATTACGTTTTTGCCCAAATGTAATTATATATCGAGATATTATAGTGTTTATAACACAGAATCTTAACTAGCATCTAATAAAGTCGTACTATAACAGTATTATTTATCTCAGCTATTTGTACTCAACTATATATCCTTAACACATATATGTATATATATATCCTATTATTTTTATTTATTTTCATTTTCCACAAATTATATAATTTAATAATTTTATACATATCTCAATTGGATTTATCATATTGAAAATCGAAACTTTAACGCGCAAATTATTACTCGTTGACAATTTGCACGTGATTCAGTAAACCTACATCTTATCTATTAAAGAAAAATCTTTTAAGGTGACCAAGGTGCCCTTATCACTGTACTTATTTTATCAGCACACGATTCTAAAAGAAGAGTTTTATCCTCGTAAATATCTTTACGAGATAACTTTATTTGTTAAATGATATATCGCGTACATATTGATGCAATTAACTCACGTTCTTATCGTGTTATCCTTATCATATATGATACGAAAAAATTTTACATGCGTGGGATGCGGGAAATATTTCTGGGAAATAATAATCACTTGAAATTGTATTTCACATTATAATTATCGCATTACATGTATCGCTATTTTTTGTACAGCACTATTATACTAAAGTTATTTTTACCAGGGTACACAAATATAATAACTGTATTTTATTATTATAAGTGTCTGAAAAGTTTGCATCATAAATATGAAAGTATACTAAGTTTAGAGTTTGTGTATATGCATACAAGTAAAATATGTGCATTGATAAAAGGGAATAACTTGAAGGATAAGGAAACGTAATAATAATAGATTATATCAAGAATAGTTACAGCATAAAAATGCAAGATTTAGTCTCTTATTTCTTCCCATTGCCGAATAGGAAGTACTATAATTCTGATTTTATATACGCCAGCAAAACGGATTATATTATACTTGAGAAAACGATTTATTCAAAGAACTAATAGGATATTATTTTCTATAGATAATTACAACGTACATACAACGCGCGCGATTCTTAATCCAAACATCCCATATGTTAACTAGTGGCGAAATAAAGATATTATATAGTTCTAGTCTATAATGTACTGAATTGTGTGATTTTTTTCGACGAAAATTTAGTTTGTCAAGATGTGATTGTTATTTTTATATGAACCAAAATTATTTAATATTGTGTCTCTATGAACATAGAATTCTCTTCGTAATACGGAAGTTGTATCTATGACATAGTTTTTACTAAATTCAGCTTCGTGAAACTTTAGTATTCTGATCAGTGAGCGTCTCGAAACTGGCATCACTGATTCTGATGTTAAATACTCCTATACGCGAATACATGTTAATTTATTTTAAAAATGTGTACTAATATATACAGAAAATATTTGCAGATAAATTAAATATATATTAAATATTTTAGAATTCTATATATCGCGCTAGTAAAATTTTACTTATGTTTGATATATATATCGAGAAATATTATATCTCTTTTAAATTTATATTAATCGATTTATCAACAAATGTTTAGAAAACACATTTTTCACATTTTGTAAATATTCAGTATTATGAGAAACTATGTGTTGGGTCTTTATGTGTTGGTCTTTATGTGTTGGGTATGCTAAAGTTGTTTAATGTTCCTTAATCAACAGTAATAATCCTAAATTTATTAAATTAAAAAAATTTATTTATGTACTACCTACAAAAGTTTAAATCAGGTTTACATAAACGAATATTTGCCTTGTAATTCCTTTTCAATGGGATGCTAATTGTCAATCATATTTGATTATTAGAAATACTTAGCATTGCATTCCATTGTGCAGTGAAGAAAGTTTAAATTTATGCCAACTTTACATATTATTAATGATATAATTCATTTTATCAATCTGGAATGCTTAAGTTAATTATGTTTAACGCAAAGTTATATATGTTATGTATATTTTTATAAACAATGACCGGACTCTAATAATATATATATATATTTGTGTGTGTGTGCAGAAACATTACAATGAATTATATCTCCTACAAATTATACGATGAACAAAAGTTGAAGAAAAAAGTTGGCCGATTAAATTCAATTTTTCATAAATCTGAATAGATAATGATCTTCTTTTTAATACTTGAAGTTTTGTAGAAGAGAGCTTCTCGAATCTTTCTTTTGAACTATTGAAAAGAATTCTTTTGAATATTTTTCCACAAATAATTATAACTTAGATCTAGATTAGGCATAATTTTACACTTAATTAATAATAATTGTTTTACATCCATGTGTATCATTATATAACACTAATGACTAGACTTCATGTTATGTTGCTATTTATATTTTGAATACAGAATGGCAGAAGAATCTTGCCTTTATTTTTCATATCGCATAATATGAAATCAAAAACATTCAAATAGCAACATCCCGCTGCAGGTACAGCCCATCTTTCACTTTTTATAATAAAGTGATCTGTACATCTCGCATCATTTAATAATTATAATATAAAAATCTGTGATATGTCACATATGTTTTGCATACTGACTAACAATTTGTTTTATGCTGCTTTCTATTCACATATTACATACCGATATATATTCGAATATAGAAACACATTATTTGCATAACAATCCACAAAACCCATTCATCACATCAGTGCAGAATATTTTTCATTATTAGATCGAGACGTGTAAAAATTTATTCCACTAATGGGAAATTAAAATTCTCATTAGTAATATCTGTACCTGCAGATCGGTATACTACATGAGTCATGTCATTTAGTTTTATTTTATCAGTCTTTAAAGACACTATGGAATGTATGCCTGTACGGTAATCTTCACAGGTTTCCGACACACTCCACATATTTTCATGTTCTTTGCACACTCTGCACAAGCCAATAAATGCCCACATGGCATAAATACCATTCGTAGTTCTCTACTGTAGCATATTTTGCACATTCTTGCATCTTTGTCTACTGGCTTGTCACAAGATGCTTTAACAGTAGATTGTTCTTCAATATTGGCCTCACTTGATCCTGTACTAAATGATGTTATATTCTCTTTGTCTTCGGAATTGGTAGAGCTTTGAGAACTTCCAGCAATACACTCATCTTCATTAGATGTCAGATCTTGTTCAGTGGTTGTGCATGATTTTACGATATCCTGAAAAAAAAATTCAAAATTAACATATCATATATATTTCACATTATATACACTTGTTATATTTAACATAACTGTTTTACGTTCCTCTACAACTATATTAAAAATATACAAATTGCACAATTCCATTTTTGCATGAATGTGAAAAATATTTTTATTATAAATATTTACCGGTTTAGCATATGTCTTTCCAATGAACTTGTTCACATAATCCTTTCCTTTGGTCATAAGCAAATACGAGCAATAGTCGAACCATTTAGCATGTTGTTCCCAAGGATCATCTTCTGGCTCCCAATCTCTCAGTCCTCCTCCGCAATGATAGCACAATGTTTGATCACCATTTCCTGTGTAGAAAAAGCCAGCCTCTGCTAATTCTTCTTTAGTTTGTGACATTGCTTTAGGCCACGTTTCAAATGTACTTAATCTAGCTTCGTAAGTGCCATATTCAGGATGCTTTGGTCTCATAGGAGAGTTAAATAATCCTAAGTTAAATTTCATGTTTTCCGTAAAGTCTTCGTTATCGGGACCGGAAAAAGGCATGTAGATTGTACCGTAAGGTCCGCATACATCATATCCTTTAGACATAGGTGTTGGAATCATGTTAGGATCCGCGCCGATGGGCACGTTGCCACATGGGATATTACGAACGAATCTACATCTTCCGGACCATCGCTGATGATCGACCATTGGACTGTCGTCTGGCTGCCACTGACATATTTCTACATGACATTCGAAGCATTTTACCTTGTCACTTTCGCCAGTATAATAGAACCCAGCTGCCGCAAGTTTTTCCGGTTTCATCCATGCACATGGCCAATTCTTGAAGCTCTCTAACCGAGCTAACTCAAATCGATAATCAATATTGTCAACTTCGTCTGATATTTCAATAAATTGGGATGATATAGATGCTGCTGATCGTATACGGTTCGGAAGAGGAAGTCTGAACTGTTCAATGCACCCGGTCATTCTTTCGATGAATTCAAAGAGCTTGAAGTAAATATGTTTTGCTTGAGAAACTGTAAAGAAAGAAAGAAGATATTAATAGGTTTCTACATTTCATTATAATTCATTAACATTTCCAGCTTTTATTTACATTCAACGCAACAATATAAGGAATTTTAATTTTAATGACATTCAATTCTCATTTTTCCTTGATTCTTTATCAAAATTGCCAGACCACGTATGCGCGATAAGCTTTAAATTACAATGTGTAATAAATGTGGCCTGCTTAGTTATCTCAAATATTTTACTTTGATAAAAGCTGTTATGCTAAGCATGCAATAAAAAATACCAAAATAGAAAATACCAAAAGAAATATTATTAAAGCTAGATTCTAATTGATCAATTAATTAAGAAATCAAACCTCTTCATTCTTTTAGATACTTGTGTAATATTAATGTCAAGAAAAGCTACAAAAAATATTACACACACACTACAAGTTTTGACAAGTATTAGAATTACTAAAAATTCTTCTTAAACAAACTCATGCATTTTAATATTATACTTTTAATATAATTTACCTTGTAATTTTTTATTCACATTTAAAATCTTGAAAAAATTTATATATCATGAGACATAATCATGGTATATCGTACGGATCTTGCCATAAATTTTGAATTTTTCGGATATCAATATATAACGCGTTAATATTACATGTTTATTTTATCAGATATCGAAAAAAAAAATTATTAAATTCTTTTGAAAAAATTGCGTTGATGAATGTAATAAAAAGTGGATTTTAAATGTGAACTTTATTGCATCGGGCTTACCTGTAGTTTTTTTTTTTTTTTTTCAAATAATCCTTCAACCGATTATGTGACCAACTCTTAAGGCTTGTGTCCACGATACTCGGAGGTTTCTTCGAAAATGAGTTCAAAAATCCATCCTCGAGCAAAACCATTTACTCGATCAGAATCAAAGATTCTTATTTAAATAATGTGAATCGTGGACGCAGAACTCAGAGGTGACATCACATGGGAAGGATTTTTGAAATCACCTACGTATCCTTACTACACGAAGATAACGAAGATACCTTTTCATATTGATGTTCAATCGCTTACACAATTTCAGTATCTAAAAAAATATCAATCTCTCATTTTTCATCATGCATAAAGCGTCTTTTGACGCTAGAGTGTCAAATGTCAGTATGAAAAGATACCTTGATCGTCGACTGTTGGCCCTTTTTATTCATATCTTATCATTAAATAATTTCTAAAACACATCTACATTCATTCATTCATAAGTGCAGTGTACGCAAGAATCACGTGACTTGACCTCTTACTCGTCTGCTATCTCTTACCTATCTTCCTCTTTCCAATTAATCAAGCAACAAAGAACACATGAAATTAGTGATAAAATAAAGGGTACCCAGGTCGCTACATGTATATTAAAATAAAGAGGAATATTAAGGATGAGACTTACGCAAAATTCTGTGGGCAAATGGACGCATCTTATAAGTTAAAAGCAGCGGAAAAATTCAGAATGTTTCGTCTCGCAAACCGCGTGCTGGAAAAGGAACGTGACCAAAGACACAAGAGCCCACTAGCGGCAACACTGGGCAACGTTGCCACGCCACATAACTTCTATTTCTGTTCATCTTATTACATTACGCCCAACGTTCCAGAGAATGGGCGGACCTTTGGAGCGCTTGGCTGGCGATGTCCCCCCCGATGTCGACGCTCCTCTCCTCGAGAAAGGTCGGGAAAAGGATGGAAACTTTTTGAATTTTCCAATGAATGATAAAATGTGCCTCGGAGAGCATTCCGAGACTTAAAATGGTACGATATATAAAAATTCCAGTTCCTTTTCATTCCGAAAAATTCCAGTTTCAAAAGATCGCGATGATTAAGATTCTTTCGAAATTTTCAAGTATTTGAATCATCGATAAACTTTTTTATTCGCGGAAAAAGATCGACGAGATGATACCCGCACGCTTGAAATACATATGATTAAATATGAGATAATTATATTTTGATAAATTAATTTCATAAATATATTTCACGTTTAATCGCAAGTATCTTTCAGTTTTCAGCGAGAGGATACTATTCCGCGAAATAACGCTGGCCATTGCGTTTGTAAGTCATCACAATTTCCGAGAAGAGAGAAGGGCTTTCGCGGAGGAATTTCTATTCCTGTGAAAGGTAATGCTTCAATCGTGACGATACCACGTATCAGAAATCATTCGCTTGGCAAACGGACTGCAACAACTCGTTCTTTGTCACCGTCCGTCATATCGCTCCGTATCCATTTTAGGAGAAACTCGTGTCTCTCTTTGACATTCTTTCGAGAAGAAGGCATCTACATGTGATATTTGCAATGATTAAAAGCTTTTGTTTCAATTTTTCTAGCCTTGATTCAATTCATAAAGAGCCTCTTTATTGTCGATTATCAACTGTAATTTACCAGACTATCCCGCCATTTTCGCTAATTAAGCTAAAATTGACTGTTGCAGGCCTTCGAAATGATTGTTCAAGGATATTACATTTACAAGGCGCCTGTGTTCTGAGAATTTTTTGTATCCCGATGCTGCGAAAATGACACATCAAAATGACCAAAGTGCGCAATCATTGATCGTTCGAAGATTCATGCAGTGAGTTCATCAGCACTAAATTTTTTGCTCTGAAGATTCTATTCATCCGGGCCTGTAAAGAGAACTGGCAACGATGGAACGTCACGTATACAATCGAAAAATTGTGGGCTGGATCTTATCAACGTTGATTACACAATTCCGGTAGTAATTTGAACAATTTTGTACATTTTTTCATGGATAGCGATGTCAAGTATAATTATAAATATTAGACAGATGATTTACATTTGTTTTCAACTTTTATACCGGGTAGATTTGAATTACAAATTCGTCATTTGCGTTTAAATCATTAATTCAAATAACTGGCAACACGTTTTGGACTTTGCTCATATGATGTAAAAAAATGATTACCATTTGTTCTTATAAATTCTTATAAAATGACTAGTTATCGAATGTTATGAGAAAAATAATTTGATAAATAGTAATCTTATCTTTCTTAGAAAATAGAAAAAAATAGTAGGCCAATTAAGAAATTTATCGTGTATTGTTTCCACGAACTATATAAAGTGTAGTCGCAGCGTGTGGTCGGCGTCAATAGACAACATATCGGTTAGTTCCATAGTCCTAGTGTCAAATCTTTTGACTCCGGAAGCCTTTGAAAAACCGAAAAGGAGTTCCGAATAGAATGAAAAATTTTTGTAGAATGAATGAAAAAGATGTAAGAAAAGGAGAGGCGGCACGCCTCACAGGCGCCAGTCATTTAGCTTCGAGAAATCATTCAAATGAATCAAAACACATTAAAGAGATGAAATAAGAATTACATTTTGACGCCCAATATATAATTTTTGTTATCAATACGTATAATTCTATTGATTATAAAAAAATGAAATAGTTCAGCTTTAAATTACATTTAATTATAAAAGACAAAAATAATTTATCTTTACTGATATCGCGTTACATACATATTTATTAAATCCGATAATTTCACTTGAATTTATTGAATATCTTATTAAATGTCTTGTCTTTTTACAGATTATTTACTCGGTTATCGTCGTCTAGAATCTTCAGTAAATACGGACCCACCCAATAACAAGAGATAAGAGACGCCATCGTACATGAAAGGATGCCGATAAAACAGAAGGAGAGGCGCGGGGCGAGGGCACAGGATATAGTAAACAGATGCCGATCAAAACTCGAAACGCTATCAGTCAGTGATATCGTGGTCAATCCCCCTTATCATCGCACTTATATGCCACTTGAATATTTTAGCACGTATTCGCGCTGGGTGCGTCCTACTTACATAAAAGCAAGCGAGTTTCCAAGCGAGCAATGAAAAAAAAACACACACACAAGCTTGGCGTGAGAAAGGAAGGAATGCGGGACTTTCTAAATTCCCCCTGGACTTGAAGAAGTGCCCGCGATACATGCGAGTGCAATGAAAATTAACGAAGAAAAAGACGTACCCGAAGATCGAGTCGGCCTGTGTTCGCTGCGCACCACTTTTGTGAACGGCTTTGTCCTCTGGCACGACCTCTCTTTCCCCTTACGCGAGTATGTCGTGGAAGTACTTTCAGCACCCGATAATGACCCGGATGTATTTTCGTCTTATCGAGCAATTGATTGCGCGACTCGCGAAAAATTGCGCGACACGCGATGCCCTGTCGCGCGAATATCCGAACTGTCTCTACAAACTGTCTTGCGATGTAGAGCAAGAAAATACGATATTATAACAGCGCAAGGCGGCGGGCGTTCAATACGTTCGAGTCTGATGTGACTCGCAGCTGCTAGCACGTCGCGGGGAAAGCGACAAAGCGAGACGTCCTATAGCGGTCGTTTGTACAGTTGGCACGGAAGTATAGTATGAGACGTCAGTGACGGCGTTGACGACTCACGATCCCTGTTCTTTGGTAGCAGTTAACAGAATGAAACTCGTCGACGCAAGGCCTGCAGCCATACTTTAACGACCTCCGTAATCTACCATCTCCCCACCGAGTCTTTTGAAACATGACGTAAACTCTTCTGGGGAAGCGAAATCCAATCCTCAGTCGCCGCATTCCGCAGAATTGTTTTCACACGTTCTTGTTATTTATTGTTGCGTAAACATGCGTATGATAAACATTTTATTTTATTTATTATGCCGATATCGCAAAGTCTCTCAAATCTATTATATAGGACGAATTTGCAGATTTTTATTCTCGGAGTCTTAAATTTGACGAATTTATATATTCTAAAAGTAGACGAATCTGGTAATTTTATGCATATTGCCAGAATTGATTCGCATCTGAATAAACATATGAATAAATATGTATACCAGACATTTAAATAAGAAACAATATCGCTCTTGCAGAATAGACGCTCATATTTCTTCAAAGTCTGAGATAAGAGATAAGAGAGAAACGTACAGATGAAAAAAGAGCCAGTATCAATTAATAGAACAATTAATTTCAACAAAGATATAATTGCCTGCAGTGAAAAATTTCCAATTCCATTCTATCGGTCCATTTCTAATCTAATCTTTTCTATCGCGTGTCAAACGAAAAAAAAAGGTGAGCAATTCTTTTAAAATATCTCAGAAAAAAAGAATCTAATGGGAAAAAAATTCCGAAAATTCCAGGATCAATAGTCGAGAAAGGGAGACCTTGGCTCCTCGAGCCACCCAGATTATACGGCACTATCAGTAGCTGCGCACTGGAGCTACATGTATGTATATGGCATGTGTGGCGATGCCAGCGATGGCGGCGGGAAGGGAAGGTCGCGGATAGAAAGGTCGCCATCGCTGTCGCCTCCCTCTGCCGCTGAGCTCACTCGTAACGCGATATTCGCCTCCGCTCGCCGTTGAAAAATTCCGCGCAGCGTCACGATAACGCGGCCGTTGTTCTTTGTTCGCAGATTACGCCCTGGGATCTAAGTCGAGAATATAATCCCGGCGTCTTTTCGTCCTTGAACGAGGGTCGATCTCCCGGCCGCACCCCCGTCGCGTTGACCCTAGCGGTTCATTCTTTCAAGCCCTACATTCTCCGGAAACGGAAGGTTATATCCGGCCCTAAAGTATCATCGATAAGACTCTAGCTGAGACGGACGAGTCAGATAGACCTCTTCTGGGGAGCACAATGGAAGTTGTCCGTGTAAAAAAAGGCTGTGTTCTTGCGTTCAGGGTGGTCGAGATTTAAATAAGATTTCGACACGCGTGTCGTCTGGAAATGCCATCACGTTTTCCGTTTTCCGAAAATATTCGCGCGAAATATTTGTGCTCTTTCAGGGAAGCTTGAGTAATGTGATGAATAATCTCTGCTTAAGCGCGCACGATCGATCGGTTACACGTTTCGCGACGAGAATGGTTGAAAGTATCGTGCCTTATCTTATCGCGCGAAAAATTATATATGATGTTCCCGAAATTTATCTCATCGTTTCGAGTGTATCGATAAGATTTTGTGGATTTAAATAACACTCGACGACGAGTGTGATCACGAATTCTCGGAAGTCTTCACGCAGCTATAAATATTTTTGCCATAATTTTTCTACCGTAAATAAATGCTTGTAAGCCAAGAGTCCAAACTCTACGTCATATCAAATTTATTGTCCTTAATAGTCAAAATATATATTTATATTAAGATATTTATATTAATCTATTTATATTTACATTTCTTATTTGTATTTATATTAACCTATTCAGACCTGAATTTTTTCTGGTTAGGTAATGTAAAAAATTATTGAATTAATTTCTATTGATGCTAAGGATTTTTTTTATGATTTATAACTGTTAGGAATTTCCCTCTGGACTTGGAAATTCCTTACCGAGAGATCGCAGGGAAACTAATTCTAAAAAATAACTATTTCACATGATTTTAAAGTTTTGTGCATAATTGTGTACATAGGGTCTGAATGGGTTAATCTTATATTAATTCAATATTTTTTATTATAATAGAAAAAATTCACAAGTCAATATTTTAAGTCTATACGTCAGAAGAGGTCCACGTAATTAATGTGTATATGTATAAAGAAAGGTTGCTTTTAAAAGTATAGTATCATTACTGCGCGCATTGTTCGTGATCAATCATTATATTTTATTACCCATTGTCTTCCTTCCGAGAAATATTAACAATCGATTTTAATTTGAATGCATTAATTGCTTGTAAAATGATGCACGCCATATGAGATTATTATTTTAGGCGAATGTGTTTCCCAATCGAAGGCAGAGTTGCCGCTATTGATTTAAGAAATTTCATTCATTGTTGAAATAACTTGCAAAACTCCTAATAGAGTGCATGTGCACCCATGAATGGAGGCGCCTATATCATATGGTGCGTACAATACAATACGAGACGAGGCATTCTAATGAAAGAAAAGAATGTTGCAGTTAAAGGTTGCAGGGAAGGCATTCTGGTTTAGCCGGGTATTTTCCCTTAAGAAAAAAAAGAAGGGGTATTCCAAGGTTTTCAAATGTTCTGACGCTTTCTTCTCTTAACAAATACAATAAAATTATATGCAAGAGCACGTCGCTCCATCGGAATGTTTTTATGTATAAGTTCGTCAGATGTTTTCTGTGAAAACTTTTGAAAGGCGATGACTGGGACACAGGACATTCTTAGGATACGGTGCATTCTTTCAATTTTTAATGGATGTAATATTCAATTTCTCATGGATATAATATATTTTCAATAATGCGACGTTATCAACAATTGATTATCTACTTGGTAAACTTTCTTTATTTTATTTGTGATAAATATGATACGATAAACATGTTTTTTCATAATTAGATCTGATAAAAGAATTAAATGAAAAATTTTAAATTAACTTTCAGTTGAAGAGAGAAAGAGAGAGAGAGAGGAGAGAGAGGGAGAAGGATTTTTAATATATTGATTTTTTAAAAATAAATACTCATGTGTGTTTCGAGATAATTATTCAAGATAATATTTAGATAAAGATATTTAAGTAAAGAAATTAAACATTATATTTCATCTGATAATTTAATATATGCGATACATAATAAACTAGAGCTGCATTTTTTAATTAATATTGCAAATACTTGAAAATCTTTGATTGATTGATTGATTAAAAGAAAAGGAATAGAGATTTTTTTTGTTTTGATTAATTGATTATATGTATTACTATATGTACTTACCATATGTATATGATTTATTATATGTATATAACATTAAATACGGATTTTCTAACTTTTATTAAGTATAAGCAAATGTGTGAGAATAGAAAGAAATTGAATATCAAAATATTTTTTTATATATTCTGCACATATGTGTACGTGTAGATAAGTTGATTCTTTATAAAAGAATAAGATACGCAAAATATTGTCAAGATAATATAATATTATATATGATATTATATATCATCATCAAATGTATATAAATATACATATATAAATACAATATAAAAAAATTTATCTTAATATTTCGTACGTCATGATTCATAAAATCATTGTATACAATTATAATTACTTATAATTACTTAATTATAATTATATAACTATATTACCTAATATAGTATATAATACCTAATGATTAAATTATTGTCTCGTTTGTGTCGTACTTATGTCTAAATTGTATTACAATTACATGGCACTTTGTTTTTATTTTAGCAAACATTATATGTCGGGCATAATATCGAAACAAGCAATGTTCTATTGCAATTATAATCAATAAATGTGATTTATGATATAACATATTTTGTATTAATGACACCTAGCATTTGTCTTTTCAGGACATAATGAACATTGAAGATGAATTGATTGACAAATGCTAGCTTTCGCGAGCAAGAAATTTATTAAATTTTGAAAATTGCACATCTCCATTATATTTAATAAAATGTATTATAAAATGTAAAAATGATTTTATAATATGTTAGAAACAATTATATCTTGAACAAGAAATTTATTAAATTTTGAAAATTGCACATCTCCATTATATTTAATAGAATGTAAAATGTAAAAATGATTTTATGATATGTTGGAAACAATTATATCTTGAACAAGAAATTTATTAAATTTTGAAAATTGCACATCTCTATTATATTTAATAGAATGTAAAATGTAAAAATGACTTTATGTTATGTTGGAAACAATTCAAAATGAATGTATTATTATATGCAATTATTATATGTAATATAGCAAAATTATCTATAAATATAATACTTATCTATAAATAAAATTATCTATAATAATATCTATATGATATATAAATCTTATAGCATAATTTATAGTAAAATTACATGTTGGAGAATATTTCAGGTGATCTAATACTGATTTTTCGGATAAGACACATGCAGGTATCGTACAACGACATAAAAAAAATGAACAGATACACAAATTCATATTCATTGATTGAAACAATAGATATACCAACAATAGATTATATATTTAAACATGATCGCTTTCAAAGCTTCGTGATGTGGCCGTATAAAGACTGGATTAAACCAGAAAAGTTTGCGGAGGCAGGAGTTTATTACGTAGGAGGAAACCACCACTGCGTAAGGTGTTTCGTATGTGTTGTACGATACCTGCGTTTGTCTTATCTGAAAAATCAGTATTAGATCACCTGACATATTCTCCAACATATAATTTTACTATAAATTATGCTATAAGAGCCAAACGCGGATGATCGTGCGACAGTTTCACAGAAAAATAATTTTTCTGTGAAACTAATTTGTGCACAGGGCACGGATTTATCTTAGTTAAACCAAATAAAATTTTATAATCTCAATTCGAGATTCTTATAATACTCCTCTAACTTCCTAAAGAATCGAAAGAAATCGATTTTTCTAGTCTCTAATTAAATGTATGCTGAGTATATTCATGGCCATGTACATTGTGTGCATATACGCGCGCGCGTATGTATTGAAAGTCATAGAAAAAAATAGCCAGTAATCTTATCTTGCTCAAGAAACTGAATGAAATTCCATAATTCAATTTGCGAGAAACGTGTCGAATATGGAAATATATAATAGGATATATTTATTTTCTTATCTTATTCAGTTTCTTAATCAAGATAAGATTACATAATCAATGTTTTCCTATGATTTTCGATATAAATATGTATTATAGTATATATTAGGAAGGCATTTCGATCTCCATTTGTACAAGTAAAAGATAAGAAATTGACGATATATAACACATCATCATACACACACATACACTGAGAAAAAATTTGGTTGCATTAATTAGAAATTCGATAGATTCAACCAGTATGTCTGTTGGAAAATGAACGAATTAGAATTTCTCTTTAGGAATTATTAGATGAGTATGATTAGTTTCTTCCTGTTAGATTTTGACCAAATTTTCTTGGTAATAATACTAAATTTACAAAAAATGGCATTACTATGTCCTATGTTTAGTTAATATAACAAGAAGTTTTTATAAATTCAATTAGAAAATATTAACCAAATAATCCTTATAGTAAAATCTATTAAACATTCTAGTTATAAAAAAATCAAATTTTATCGTGATAATTAGAAATTTTGCTTATTATTAGTTTAACCAAAATACCTTCTATCAGATACGTTTTGTTGGTACAATCAAACGAATTTTCTCAGTGTGCACACATACATTTAATTATGTTTAGTCATAAATTATTCGAAATCATTAATGTGATTACCTAAATGACCTAAGGTTTAAGTAATTTTCTCTCTCTTTTGTCCGCTTTCTTTATATTTTATTCAAATGTTTACTTTCTTTATTTCGTCCAAATGTTTAAATGAATATCTTTCCAAATAATTCGAACATGCCTAGAAAAAAAATAAATATAAATAACTGAGAATTGAATTAATTAGATAGTTACGAATCACAGTTCGTCTTTTCTCTTTTTATCTTGTCTTTTCACTTGCTCTCGCATCGCATTTTATATCGAAATACCGAATATCATTGATATATTATATTGTTAGCACGTATCGAACTTCGGAAGATAACGAGACTCATTGACGTATCACTAACGATAATCACTATAAAAAAAAGGTGTAATAATAATTACTCACCAGGTCAATGTGCTCACAGTTCACTTTTAATATTACAGAATGTATTAAATAGTTTTATATTTTATTAGGATGTAAAACACTATGCATTTCTTATTTTCACTCTTATTTTCATGCACAACGCGATAAGGATCAACAAGGACTATTGATAGGTTATCATATGCTGCCTGATGATCAAGCTCTGAATTATTGACCTAGTCGCATACCTCGATAGGACAAACAAAATTACTAAGGACAACAAAATAATAATAATAGTATAGTAGAAATTCTAGCAGCATACAACTGTAGTAAGAAATGACGCACACAAACGAAAATCTTATACGTGTGTCACACATACACGGTTTTCGCTTGTGTACACGTCATTTCCCCCCCCCCCCGGTTGCATGTTGCTAGCGTATTAATTCTGGCATCACTGAATAGTCCAACCCCTTTTGCGTGCGCATGCATTCGCCACGTGCGTAGCTGAAAAGCACGTGGTCGTCCTCCCACAAGATTTAGCTCCATTTTCGCGCCAAAAGTGCTTCTCGCCTACCTGATTTTAGGCACGCTCCATTTAACGTTCTCAATGCTCGCTATTATCTTTATTGTTTACCGATTAAACAAAGACAGATGATGCTTGCTAACGTTGCAAATGGTAAATGGAACACATTTATAGAATCGCTTTTGTAAAGAATTATCAGAATGAAAAAATCATTTTATTTCATTATCATTAAATATTATGAAAGAATTAAATATGCTCTCTAAGTATGCTGATTAAAATAACTGTTAATATAATTATTTATAACTGTTAATATAATTATTAAATTAGTAAATTAAATTAAGTACGATGATTATATAATAACTGTTAATATAATTATTAAATTAGTAAATTAAATTATTAAATTATGAAAAATTAAATTATTAAATTATTAAATTATAAAAAATTAAATTATTAAATTATTAAATTATTAAACTATTAAATTATTAAATTATTAAATTTAAATTATTAAATTATTAAATTATTAAATTATTATGTAATTATTATTAAATTACTAATTATCGAAAATATGTTACCCAAAAAAGTAACTGTAACTTCGTTACAAATAACGAAATATTTCCCAATCTTGAATTTATCTCTAGGATTATATCTATGCAGACCAGATTAGATTATTTGTTACGTAAAATTATTACATAGATGAATATAAATCCGAATCGGAAGAACTAAGGATGCATTATTATCTGTTAATTAAGAATTTGTAATTATTATTGAACAAACATGTATTAAAAAAATTGTAAGATAAATTTTTAATCACGAATAAAATTTTTATGCATCGTGCAAGAAATTTATTCAATTGTGAGACACGTAGGAATGGACTTAAAGACGCCAATCTCAACGGGGCGTCATTTTTTACAGTCTGTCATTTAAAAAGAAAAGAAAATTCAGATAAATATTTCGGCGCCGACCTCATGCAACGAGACATAGCATTATACTGTAAGACATTACAACAATTATTACAACAATTATAACTGTTTTTGGACGATTCTTATATATAATTTTACTGCTTGTTTTTCTGCAAGAAAAAAATTTAGAATTTCATGCATATGTATTTCATGTATTTCTCATGTATTTCTTATGTACTTCTCATGTATTTCTCAAACTCATATATTATATTAATATTAAAGCAACTGATAAAGAGAACAAGAAACTCAGCCTACGTAGGAAATTATGTAAATTTTTTTATGTAATTTTATGCTTGTCATTCTTCCATGAAAATGTGTATTTTTTGCATTTATTTCAGAAAATCAGCATTAATAAAATTGATGTACAAGTTATCATTACGCCATATTACATTATGGTGATATCATACTGGCAGAAAAGAATGTAAATAAGCATTATATCATCATTAAATAATGACGTCATGCTAGAAATAGATTAGATCTATTAGAGTCACTTGTATACAGCGATAAAACATAGCTGAATATTCGAATCTGCGATTCGTATTCTATCAACGTTTAATAATTTTTCTAATAAGAGTAGTATTGGTATAATGATGTACGTTAAATATAAGAGACGGAATATTTCGAAGCGATATACATCTAACATCTTTTATTTATCAAACGTATTACAAGTATGTCGACATCTTATAAAATAATCAGTCTTTTTTGTATTTATAAAATTAATCGATAACTACTCTTACTTGAAATATTCTGCGCTATTACGATAAAAGAGCTCTAAGAGAGTTTTTTAACGCGCACGTACGATTCTCACATATGCATAACATATTCTTTTATTATATTTATTTATCGTATATAAAAAATGCGTTACTATGCATTTTAAATAACTTTTTTCAGAAATTTTAATACAATTCACACGCATATTTTTGGCAAATTTATTAAAGTGTCATAATCATAATAACATCCTAAAAATCTTTGACCAAAAATTTTATTTTCATTGGAAATTTATTCTTATTTCGGTATAATTTATTTTTATTTTGTTTTTTGTATATATGTATAAAATATATGTATAAATAAATTAAATTTTAAATAAATAATACGACTTTAAATGTAACACTGCGTTATTACAAAAAATATACGAATATAGTAAAGAAGAACACAATTACTGTGTAAACAATAAAAAAGAAATATAATTTAAATTTGAAAATATGGATAGATAGCGCGATAGAGTTCAATTATGTGTTGCTTATAATTTATGTTTTATATAATTATTTATTTGCAATATGATACATTTACTTATATATGCATAATTGATATGTACATATATTATTTGTAAATGCTACTGATGACACACATATATTAGTACAATTGATAAAATATTTATCACATGGGTTCTGTCTAATTCATGTCATATTTTATAATAAATATTTATTATATTAAAAGATCATTTTGACAATACTATGGCTACGGGACACAGTAGCAATTAAAATAATACTACTAATAGTTTGCTAATATATGCGTGTCGTATATGCGCGTTTCCAAATGAGAGAAACCTCTTTTCGCAGTCCTTTATTTATAGAATAATCAGACGTGATCCGGAGATAGCAATCGTCGTATTTTTATGAAAATCCTTACAAGCAATGCAATGAAGGGACCGTATTATCGTGTATGTACTATAATCAGATGTAAGGATGTAATAAATGTTTTCGTTCGCGATTTGAATTTTACAATATTTCTATCTTTATGTCATATGTATATATTTGCAGATTAATTATTCATGTCATTAAATCACCAATTTACGAAACTAGATCATTATGTCATCTCATAATTAAAAGACACATATGTATGTCACACATGTTCAAATGAATAAAAAGCATGTGTTTATAATCTCTGATATGTGACTGTAATATTATTCGCAGATATCTCGCAGATATTATTCACGTCATATTATAAATAATCGCAAAATATAGATATGTGTCATAACATGTGTAAATTCTATCGCGATACGTTGGAGCTCTTCTATGATTGATTTTCCGCTAGCAGCCTGTTGATGAACGCGCAATCAGGATACCACTTGATGTGCTCATTTTTGGGATCATCTGTCGCTTCCCACTTTTGCAAAGCTTGGCCGCAATAGAAGCATGTGACTATATCGCCGTCATTTGCACATATCAAGCCGGCGGCCGCTAGATCTTCCTTTTTCTGGGGGATCGTCACCGGCCACGACACGTAACTCTCTAATCGACGCTCGTAATAAGCAAAATGTGGATACTTCGCGCGCCATACATCGCCGATCTTAACTTCCTTAACGACCTCTTTATCATCAAAGTAGACCTCGATCATTTGATTGGGATTTAGCCTTAACCGGTCTGAGGAGCATATTTCTGTCACTTTTGGCACGCGTAGCGGAATCATACTCGGATTGGCACCGATCGGTACATTCCCGCAAGGTATCCTGCGGACGACTCTACATCTTGGGAACTGTTGTTGATGCTTCGCCATCGGATCTATATCCTTCCAGTCGGATATGATGATGTTGCAATCGAAGCATTTTATTTTATCATCATTTTGGATGTAATAGAAACCGGCGCTTGCGAAATTATAATATTGTAAATAGTGCCGGCTATTTACGGTCGATACGCAGTTAGTGAAGCTCATTAATCTTCTGTTCTCGAATCGATAATCTATGTGATCTACCTCGTCGATCGGTATGGATAATATTCTGTAAAATTCCATCTCGGCTAGATCAAAGGTGGTTCCTTTTTAAAATGTCTTGTGCAAATCAACTTGGACATCTACGAGGAAATATTCTCTTGTAAAACTCTGTAAAGAAGAAATAAACATAACTTAGAAACCATTCGGATGGGATTCTACTTAAATTGCATTTGAAGAATATGAGAAGTATGAGAGATTAATCTCCTTTTCTCTCTCTTTCTCTTTCTTTATTTGTAAAGTACAGGATAAAAAAAGATTATAGGAAATAATGTAAAAAAAAATATATTCTTCAATTTATTAAGATCTCCTTCGCATGCAGGCATTTGTATCATATATTTTTCATTCAATTAAAATAAAATTCGATATAAATTAAATGAAAAACGCGCTTTTTCTGCCGCTTATTTGATAAAAAACATGAGCTATGTATTTACGACTTTGATGTTTCGGTTAATTGAATTTTTCAAGTTTAGAATGACTCAAATTGTGCTGATGATGTCAACATCCTTCTTTTTAATTGAATGATATGTGAAATTTCCCAGAATAGATATAAAAAATAGATAGTTAAATAGATATCCCATATACAAGTAAAGAAATTATCGTAATTCGAGGGATAATCACGTTAAGATTTATAAGTGATGACTAGATGACAATATACAATGGTATATTTATCTTCGTATGACAAATACCACCCACTCTGAATGTGATTTACAGGAAATTCTCTTTCTCTCTCTCTCTCTCTCTCACAATTCTCGACATAAGAAACGCATTCCAGAGCTATGACATGTACGCATAATGCGTAGCTTGTCTGCGAATCTACAATATTTTTTTATTGATAAATATATATCTTAGAATTTTTCTAATCAAAACATGATATGTATTGATAATTCATTTAAAATTTATAAAAAATGTATATTATTATATATATTATAAAATATGTTATATATATATATATATATATATATATATATATAGATATAGATATAAACAAAAAATAATAAGATGTGTGCAAAATAAAAATATGCTAACATGCGAAGCTCTCTCTTTTCTTGATACTCATGTAAAATCTTTAGGATATACATAATTAATGTTCGCGTTCACAAAAGTATCCAGAATAACTAATTTTTAAACGATATTATGCAACATAAATAGAATTGCTTCTAACATTTGTTTAATATGAATACAACGCTCTAATAGATTTTTGCGAAAGATTATGTCTGACAAATTGTTTGTTTTGACAAAGACGAATTTTTTTTAAATTATGGCATTTATAATAAAATATTATTAGTTGTGTAAGCTCTGAATTTAACACTTGACATTATATTTAAGAGATTTTAATAAATGAATAATTGACAGTTTTAATTGCAAATAAAAAATGATATTCGGAACTGCAACCAAATGAAATTTTTTGATTTATGAAGGAGAGATTTGATATCTATTAAAATCAGGATTGGCAAAAAACTTGTTTTTTTTATTTTAAACAAAAAACATTGTTTTTTTTGTTTAGAACATGTTTTTTGTTTTATTTGTGTTTTTAAGTAACGTAAAAAAACATGTTTTAAATAAAAAAAGCAAGTTTGTTTTAAACAAGCAAAAAACTTAATAGCTTTGATCTGTGTAAATATTTAAATTTTTCACTAGCGTTAAACTGTAAATAACGTTGCCAAAATTGACAACGCTATTAAAAATATAAATAATAAAATAAAAATGATAAGATGGGTATTATTTTAGCAGAATATTTATTTTTGGATATTAAATAACAATCAATACAATAAAGATTACTTAGAAGATATTGACTGACTTTACATTTTACATTTATCATTTAATAAATTAAATTAATAGTACATAATTCATAGTAGGTCAGTAGTTCCAAAAAAAAGTTCTAATTAATAATATTTAATATATAATACTTTGATTCCTTTTCTATCCTTATTAAGTAGCTTCATACTTAACTCTGAACATAAATTCTAAATAAAAGAAAAAACCTTAATTCTTCTTTTTAAAAGAAGAACTTTTTTTAGAATTACTGACCTGCTATGAGTTATGTACTATTATATTAATTTAATTTATTAAATGATAAATGTAAAATGTAAAGTCATTAATTTAAAACGCTAAAATGTAAAATGTAAAGTCAGTCAATATCTTCTAAGTAATCTTTATTGTATTGATTGTTATTTAATATTCAAAAATAAATATTCTGCTAAAATGATACCAATCTTCTCATTTTTATTTTATTATTTATATTTTTATATCTATATATTACATAAATATAGATAAAAAACTTAAAACACTAAAACAAAAACATTTTTGCAACATACACATCTATTAGTTTTTATTTATTTTTTATTTTTTTACAATTTCTTTTTTAAATAATCATATATTTTATTTGCGATATTTTAAACGGTTCTAAACAATAGTTTAAAACAGTTTAAAGCAAAAATGTTTAAAACAGTGGATATTGTACATCACATACTGTACATCACAAATTCGAATGATCTCAGAATGTCACGTACAACAGAAATATGTTCGGCGAGAACTAAAGGAGAAAGAGAGAGCAAAATGAAAACAACACCAAAAAAAAGAGAGATAAAAAAGAAAAAGAAAGAAAGAAAGAGAGAGAGAGAGATTTGAAAAAAGCGAGAATCGATCTGTTTCGTGCTTTTGTATAAAAGAGAAAGATTAATACATCCTTTTTACAATCATTTATCTCTTCAGTTTTATGCGAACGAAAATGTAAAAGAAAACAAAAATTACATCAGTCGCTTAGAAAAACGGAGACAATAGAGGTGGAGATTGAATACTACCACAAAAATTTGCAATAGGTTTGTCAACGATATGGTAATCTTATCTCTATTCCTTATAATATTTTTTCCCATTGAATTATCCCATTAAAATCAATAGATTATTGATTGCATATGAATTCCTTGTTCTCTCGTATTATTACCTATGTATTCCGTCTATTTTTCCTGCGTGTTCTTGAAGATCTACATTTGACTCTACGATGATGATCGCTGATGAACGGAACGGAAATTGCTTGCAAGAAATTTCACGCTCTCGACAGTATCTCCAGCATAATTTAGAAGGTTGTTTCGTTCTTCGATGCTTAAACCGTACTATCCCCTACAGGTACGTCGACTGACGCATTCACTATTCTTGTTCGCTATTCGATCGAGAGTGAACTGTCGAGTTCAGCTGAACTGTCGAGGATACTAGCCCTAACGCGCGAAATAATGGTCGCTTATGGAAAATACAAAAAAACAAAGATAAACATGTGTTATTTTGCATAGATGGAAGAGAGAGGTTTGCGATTCCGCGTGACATATGTGAAAATAAAATTTGGCGAAAGGTGTCCTTACCCATAAATCGATATTTTGATTTTAAATATGTATAAAGCTTTATTCATGCATACGGCTAGTTTTTGAAGCTTTTTAAAAGGGTAAATTCATAATTAAATCAATAAGTAATATATATTTAATAATTAATAAGTAGTATATATTTTATAATAATTACTTACTCTTTATTTATAATAATAAGTTGCATTTATTTTTTCCATCGGAATATGATGAGGGGATCGTTAACAAACTTGAAAATAAAATGGCAGAGATTGATCAAATTTTTTAAATATATTTACATAAGGTAACTCTTCATCTCAAAATTAGAAGAAACACGAATCCATTTATAATCCATTATTAATCCATTAAGAATCCATTATTATAATATTAATCAATTATATTAATAATAATATTAATCAATTATTATTATTATTATAATTAAAATTATTATTATAATCAAGGAGGTCAATGAGGGCATAGTCTCTAACGATTTTATTTGTTTCCTCTGGCAAATTTTTATTTTATTTGTTTCCTAATTCTTTGCATTTAAGGGAATTAAAAAGCAATAAAAAATCGATTTTTTTCTTTTATTTTTAAAAATTATTATCTTTCCTGAGTAAAATGCCGTTTAATTTATGTCAAAATTTATAAAATTGCGAATTTGGCAGCCAAAAAGGTCAAGTTTAAAACAACGTATTTTGTGCACTGAAGAATTTTTTTCTTTTCTATTATAATATAACGGGCTGAACACGGGCCTGGACTAAAATACATATGGCTGTCATTTTACGGTACGTGATATATGATTAGTATTTCTTTTCGCAAAATCCCTTTTCCTGTTACCTGACACTTTAAAGCTTTTGTAAAGAACTGTCAAAGCGAAAATATTTTATTTCATTATTAATTGTCTCACTTTCGAGAAAAGTCAATAGTGGAGTTAATCATACTATCTATAATTTGCCTATAGAATTTGCCTATATATATATATACACATATATATAGGCAAATTCTATAGGCAAATTGTAGATAGTATGATTATATATATATACACACGATTATGTTATTATCCGGTTTTAGAATCTAAACACCCACTGTATTTCGCTGTGTGAGATCGGTGTCGAAAAGTTTGACGTGGAATATTTGTCATTTCCTTTTTAAGATATTGATTCTATTTCTTTAGCTAAAATCCTTAGGTGCATTCCTGTCTAATGCTTAAAAAAATATTTTGCACAATAATTTATTCATGATCACAGAAAATAGAATTTTATTTATATGTCAAATATATATAGAATTTAAATACGTGGATTTTAAATATATATGTTATATATATTTAAATATATATGTTAAATTAAATATATATATTATATATATTTAAAATTCACGTGTATTTAAATCCTATACATTTGACGTTAAAGCAAATAAAGAAAACAAGAAATTCTGATTGCGAAAATTTTGCAATGTTTTTTCTTATGCCATTTTATGCTTGTCATCTTTCGTATCTATTTCAGAAAATTAGCATAAAGTTGATTCATGAGTTATTATCATTGCACCACATTGCATTATAATGATGTCATCCTGTTAAATAGGAATAAATAAAGCGACATCATTTATGATGATATCATATTGCAAATAAGTTATTCTATTGCATTTAATATAAAATAGCATTAAGACGAAACATTTGATTTTATGGTTCATATTCTATTAATTTTTCACTAATTTCCTAAGAAGAGAAATATTGGTATCGTTAATTCTTTAATGAGAGAACAAATACGGTACGTCAAATATAAGAGAGAGAATGTTTTGAAATGGATGTATATCAATATATTTTTGCTTTATTCTTATTTTATTCATTAAATGAATTACGCACATGTATTAATATTCAACAATCAGTATAAAATAATCAGTCTTTTTCGTGAAATTAGTATCGTGAAATTAATACCGCAATTATTTATACTAAAATTATTAATAATACCGTAAATAAATTATTCGCGATTATGTATATAACATATCGTTCTTATGTCCAGCTATCGTACAAAAAATTATTACATGCATGCTTTTCAAGTAACTTTCTTTTTAGAAATTTTTTCTTAGACATTTTAATATAGTTTACGTGGATATTTTGAATAAATTAATGATCGTATAATCGTGATAACGTGCTAAATAAAAGTGTCTAACTTGGTCAAAAATCTAAATAATTATAAAATTTAGACTTGTATCATGTGCAAATTTCTGGTGTTTTATCATGAATGATATGAAGCTTTTCTATGATCGCTTTTCCGCTAGTAATCTCTTGATAAACTTGCAAGTGAATTAACGATCGTATAATCGTGATAACGTGCTAGAAAAGTGTCTAACTTGGTAAAAAATCTAAATAATTGTAAAATTTAGACATGTATCATGTGCAAATTTCTAGTATTCTACCTTGAATGATATGATGAAGCTCTTCTATGATCGTTTTTCCACTAGTCTCTTGATAAACTTGCAATCAGGACAACGTATGTTGTGTATTTGTATAGGATCATCATGCGGCTTCCAATCGTTCATTTGTACACTACAATGGAAGCAGTAGACTTTGTCTTCGTAGTTTGCACATACAAAGCCAGCGGCTGCCATATCTTCTTTTTTCAGACCGTTTACCGGCCATAATTGATAACTGTTCAATCTACTCTCGTAATACGCAAAATCGGGATATCTCGCGCCTACCACGTCGCCAATCTTAACTCGTTTATGGACATCTGCAATCTCGAAGTAGACGTCGATCTCGTAGTCAAGAATCAGATAGGACTCGTTTAATTTGCATATTTCCTCCATTTTCGGCACGCGTTGTGGAATCGTGGTAGGATCGACGCCGATTGGTACATTTCCGCAAAAAGGTATTTCGCGGATGAATCTACATTTGTAATTTCGCTTGTGCTCTTCCTGTGGATCTTTATTTTCCATCCCGAATATGATGATTCCGCATTCGAAGCACTTCATCTTATTACCCTTGTCGATATAGTACAAACCGTTTTTTGCGTATTTCTGAGCGCATTCGCGTTTTAGGACAGATTTCATGAAGCTATGCAATCTCACGATTTCGAATCGATAGTCTATTCGATCGGAATCATCGACAAATGCAGACATTTCAAACATTTCACGATTCTATCAGTTCCAAAGTGGCTTTCTTCCAAAATGCTCTTGTGCGATATCGATCGACTTTAAGAATTTCTATGAGAGAATGTTATCGACTTTAAGAATTTCTATGAGAGAATGTCCTTTTGTAAAAATCTGTAAAAAGAAAAAATGAATGTAACTTAAAGATTACTTGTAAAAGGCTTCTATTTGAATCACATTGAAAAATATGAGAAATACAAGAGATTAATTTCCTTTTATCTATTTATTCTATTAGATATTATTATGATAAGATTATTATCGTTAATAAAAGTCATTGTTTATTACTGATAGAATATTATTATTATTATTATTATTATTATTATTATTATTATTATTATTATTATTATTATCGCATATCGAAATATGAGAAATATCTGGTTGAACTATTGTATTTATTTTGTAATGGTAATGCCCTTGTTAAAATAAAAAGATATATACATATATATACAAGGTATCCCAGTTATCTTCCGTTATCTTTTAAAGACAGATTCCTGGGATCATTTGAAGACGATTTTTCCTCAGCAAAAATGTCAATGAAGGCCATCATTTTTTGCATGTTCCCGATTTTTGTCATCATATATCTTTGCAATTAAGTCTTAAATTAAAACTCAACTAAAGTAAACTCTATTTAAAATTAATCGAAGAATGTGATTTTGTTAATATTTTATTTCTACAAAGCTTAGTTTATGAAAAACCCCTTATTTCCAATCACTTATAATTCGAAAATTATTAGTGCCTCGACATTTTCGTTGAGGAAAAATCGTCTTCAGATGATCCCAGGAATCTGTCTTTGAAAGATGACGGAAGATAACTGGGACATCCTGTATATGTATAGTGATAATAGTGGGAATAATCTAAGATAAGATATTATATAAACCGTTATTATTGTTAATGTTTTTTTTAGAAAGTTAGATTTCATTTTAGATATTGATGAATATCTATAAAATAATCTGCACTTTTGATTTAATGTCCTTGGGGATGTAATGACATTAGTGACGAATACCTAGTTAAGTCTCGCATTTATTTGCTTTTCTAGAATTACTAGGCACTAACAATCACGAATTCGAATAATCTCTGATTATACAACAGAAATATGTCAGGAATCAAACAAGAAATAGCAAAGAGAAAACAGGAACAAAAAAAAAGAGAGAAAGAGAGAGATTTGGAAGAAAGTGGAAAACAAAGCAAATACTATTTTATGTATCAAATGCCTTTGTACGAAAAATAAATCGCATTACATCCTTTTTATAATCATTTATCTCTTTATTTTTATACAAACGGAAATTTAAAAAAGACAAAAATTATGTCGTTTAGAAAAACAGAAGAGACAATAGAGATCGAGATTAAATACTATCGCGAGAATTTATGGCAAGGTTGTTAACAAAACGATGTTAACAAAAACATAAGACAGAGAGAGAAAAAGATGATGGCTATCTACTCCCACTTTTTCGCACAGTTAGTCCATTGAAATTCAATTGACTCCAATATTGATAATGCATATCCTTGTCTTTTTGCGTTATTACCTACGCGTATATTGCGTCTATTTCATCTACGTATGTGTCCCTGAAGATTAGATACATACTTGGCTCTATGATGATGATTGCTGACAAATGGAAGGAAAATCGCTCGCAGAAAATCTCGCACTCTCAACAATAATATATAATATAAATCTTGCCGAAAATAATTTAAAAATT